AGGTGCATGAAGAAGATTCTGCCACACTAATCAAATGATGTACCACAGTAGTCCTATGCTGTTATCTGTAATAATATTATTTTGTTATAACTAGGGGAGAGGGAGCTATAACTATAAAATAATTTCATCGTTCTAATTTTAGTATATGTGCTGCCGAAGTGAGCACATAAAATAATTTCAATGTAAACATTTTATTTAAATACATTAATACCTATTAATGGGACAATAAAAAATGTTAACATATTTATCAAAGAGGAACTGTAATTCAGAGCTTGCTAACTTCTATGCTGAGACAACATGGGATGTGTTACAGTTACACTGAGACATGAATTCCCTTGGCATTCAGAGTCTTTGGGTGGGGCCTGGGTAAATGGAGCTTTCAGTGTCTTGGAGCTTTTTCTGCTTACCCCAGATACAAATATCATTTTGTATATATGTAATGACAATGAAAATGGTTGGGAAGTACTACTATAACTAATAAAAACATATATATTTTTTAATCTGTTTACAGATAGTTCTGTTGCTTACATGACAGTGTCACTAATAGAAAGTCTTACAATCAAAAGATTATTAGGACAATGATTATCAAGATGAGCAAAGAACTGCTAGAGCTTTCCAGGAATGCTATGTCCAAAGAGGCATAAAGACTTCTAAGTAGATTAAAATAAAATATGTTTACATTCTTTCTCCATTTTACAGGTCCTCCATAGTCCCATTCATTCAGCTGCTTCTCCAGTGAGAGAGCAAGATTTTATTTCCATTCAGCAGGTAATACATTTAAATATACAGGCAAATTCATCAAAATTACAAAAACATTTTTTACCTGGTAATTCAAAGGATCTCAATAAAGTCACCTACAATGTTAGAGCCCAAAATAAAAGAAATAAAAATTACAAAGGTCATTAAGCACAGCTCTAGCAGCACAATAATCAAAAGGAAATAAGAAATGAAAGCTTGGGCACAAATTTTCAGTTATGGATAAATTAAATAACCACAGGTTGAGTCATAGTGTGCATTCATGCTCATTGCAGAAAACAATGACTTTATTTTCTGACACCATCATTTACTGCTTATTTTCAAAGAGTAAATTTAAACTCAGGTATGTAAAAATCAATCTTGATCTCCACATAAATATTTCCTTGAGAGCAAGAAGAGAAATTAAATGTGTGGAAGTGGAGAGTTCAAAGAATTACCAGTTCTTTCAGAAATTAAACATGAAGTATTCAATTCACTAACACCTCTTTCTAAATTGTAAGGTAGTTAGACCAAAGCCTTAACACTAATCATATCGTAACCATCTTCATAAAAATCGTCCTTCCCTTTATGGGAAAAAAACCATCTAAGTTATTTTAAGACACTTCTCAGGGAACAAGCTCCCCATGTGACTGGGTTTCAAATCCATATTATACTACTAGTAATCACCCACCTCTTTTCTTGACCACACTATATAAATAAGAGAAGTGGGTGCATTTTAAAAATATTTGTTACATCCCTATCTTCACTCTTCGCCCCCCTCCGATGCCACCAATAACTAGCCTTCTGTGAGCTGCTTTATGTGATTTTTCTTAAATATTAATTTATGAATCTTTTGCATTGATTTTTAAATTTTCAGATCTTTATCATACAGATCAGATTAAATCCATAGCTAGCACAAAACTAACAAACCCACTATGAGAATTTTCATTATCTTTATAACCTAATCAGAAAGAAATCAACATTCTAATTTCAAATGAATTACAGTCATGTAAGAAACTTATTAAAATCATAATTAATTTGTTTTTAAGTGATTGGGTAAAATCTCTTGCTTTCTTAATCTCTCCTTTTCTTAACTTCCTCACTCTGGCTAATGAAGACACCATTCTTCTACTCTAACATATTTATTATAAACCCACTAAAACAAAATGGTTACCTATGTCTTATTCATTTGTTAAGATCTATCTCAAATGTTATTTCTTCTGCAAAATATCCACAGATCTCACAGAATAAATTTGTTAATCCTTCCTCTATAAATGTGAGGCATGTTTATTTCTATTATATCTCATATCAGGTCCACCAAGTCCTACTGTATAGGTTGTACACTGCACAATTCTAGAGTGCACCATTCACATGATACCTTGCATGAATGACAGATTCTGTATGTCTGACCAACAACTGTGACCATTCCACGCGAGCCCTATTTTTCCTGAACTTGCAATATTTTTCAAGTGTCTCTTTCCGAAAGAACACCTCCAAGAAGGAAGTCATGTTCATCTAGACATCCCTGTGAACACAGTACTTAGCAAACAATTATTTAATGGAACATTCTCTTTTCTGCCACTGAAATGTCTTTAAGATCTAACTGTATTGGTCAATTTCACTTGTACTATCCTTGTCTAGCAATTTATTACCTCAAGCTTTGATTATTCTGCCAAACTATTTCACATATATTTTTGTACAGTGTTAATAGGCAGACTGTGAAAAAAGGTTTGTTGCTTACATAAATTTGGAAACTGTTGCATTCAATAAAGTTAAACAGTTTTCTATACTACAGGACTTCTCAAAGCTTTTGTAGGCTAACAACATCGGGAATCTCCAAAAAAAGAATTCACTGCTTTTACTTTAGAAGAAATATGCCCCATAAAGTTCACAAGGGCTCATTTCTACACTTTCCACCTCTTCCTCATTTGGGGGGAAAAAAAAGAAAAAAAGAGAAAAAGAAAGAAATCCCATCTCTTAGGTCACCATGTTTCTTAAGATTTGGAATGAACAGGATAGAGAAGTTGCTTGTGGTGGGGGTTAAATAGATCTACTCCAACATGTTCAAAAGCCTCACAGCAGGTGAAATTTGCCCTTTTTTTTTTTTCCCTTTTTGTCTTTTTTCGTGTCCGGCAACAGATCGCAACCCTCAGTGTCGCGCCCATACCGGACCGGGACCGGCAACGGGATCGCAGCTCTCGGTGTTGCTCCCACACCTCGCTCAGCCAGTGAGCGGGAACCGGTCTGTATGTGGGATCCGAACCCTCGGCGGGAGCGCCACCATGCTCCCAAGCGGCGCACTGTAGCAGTGCGCCACCAGGCCGGCCCCGAAATTTGCCCTTTTAACTGAGTTGTTTGCTTTTATCATTTCTAAGACAAAAGAAATTAACATCCCTTTTATGTAATTTCTTTTCCCATTCCATATTTTACCAACGGCTTGGTTTCCAGAAGAAATGGTGTTTTTATCCATGCAGAAACAAAAACATAACCTCAACTTCCATCTACTACAGGATGATAGTTTTCAGTGAAGGAAGTTCAGCCCTCTACGAGGTGTTTTGGAAATGAATGGGGCTGTTATTTGTTGGCTCAATGAGTGTGTGTCACTACTGGCATTTAAGGGTTAGGAGTTGAAGATTCAAGAGGTCCTGTGCTGAATAGCGCAGTCCTACAAAATGAGTGTCTCACAGACATTCATGTAGGTGAAAATCCTGTTTATTAATATTTGGGCATAAAATCTGTTTTAAATCTAAATGCAAATTTTTCTCTCATTTTTGCATGATCTTAATATACACTAAGAATTCCAGAAATGTAACTATTGAAATAAAAGATTAAACTTTTGTCACTAATTTAGAAAATCACAGCACTAACAGCAATCCCACTTCTGTGTTTAATAAAGAAATACACAAGTCTATTTGTAGCCATCACACTCACAGTAATTATATTTACTTAACTACTCCATTTGTGGGGCCAATGTTAGGCTACAGCTTGGGCTAATGTCTGGAATCCTGTCGACATTGCCAATTGTAGCACTCTTAATCCTGTTCGTGAAGCCAACTGTAAAGCTACTCAACCATGTCAGTTGTTGGGCTCTTTTACCTGCCGGTAATCCTGTACCAACTGGGCCAACTGTTGAGCTAGGGGTGGGTCTGGAGCTCCCAGACCCCTCAGGCCCATTGTCCAGGCTGGGTCATAAACCCTTCATATGCCAGGCTGGGTCACTAGACCTCACACAGGCCAGGTTGGGTCACCAGACCCCTCACACGCAGGTCTATGAGCTAGGTAACTGGCCAAAAGTTTCCTTGGAGCCATAGATGCCCAAGGCAGATGCCCACTGCAGACGCCTGCCCGCTTGCTTTACTAAAACTACTCTCTCTCTCTCTGAACCCAAGAATAGTAACAAAACTAAAAAGATATATTGGTACGCATGTGCACTAACTACACACACACACACACACACACACACAAACACACACAATTTGCTTACAAAGGATACTGAACCACACCCAACCAGACCCAAGGCAAGGGCCCTGACCAAAGTACTCTATTTTCCCAACACCATGATATCGTCTAATGTACTCAAGTCCAAGCATTTATATTTTGAAATACATACTACTGTACCTTAATTTATTTTCTTTTTATTTATCCTTTATATTCTACTTAAGATATTATATATTTTTTAAATAACATGATTATGTAGGTTATATTATTTTTATTTTCATTTCAGGTTATATTTTTTATTTTCACTTCTGGATAGTAAAGGGGGCATTACAAAATATTTGTTATCTAAATGGGGCACTGGCATGCTGGCTGAAGTTAGGGTGTTAAAAAGAAAGGCTTTTATGACTGGGGAAAGGAGAGGGCATTGGGTTTGATGGGGTTACAACCCACCAATCTAAATACAATACTGTGCTGAATCAAAAAAGGGGGACAGGCATAAGGTAGGGAAAGGAGGAGCGTGAGCCTCTTTTCCACTCAGCTTCTAAGTTTCCATACTCCTGAGGAAACACACCTTTACTGTGTCTCAGTTTTCACCATTTCACAGAGCTTACACTGTCTCAAACTACACCATAACCTACCAAAAGTAATAAAAATACTTGGACCCAAAGAACGGTAATACAAAGTCACTGCTACCACAGCTCCTCAGGAGCCTTCTGAATCTGGCAGCTTCCACACTGGTGAGGTCATCTTCATTCTCAGTCATGATATGGAACTCTGTATTATTTATCACCCTTCATTTGGTAAAAGAATTTTTCAAAAACACTTACCTCAGTAGTAGTTCCAATGTCGGCAGATGGGCTGCATGTGCTAGTATCTGGAGGAGCTGTGCCTACGCTGCTTCTAACTGGAGAACTAGGGACAGGTCCTGCCACGGTCTCTGAATAGGCTGAAGATGGATTGAGATTGCCCCTCTTCTGAATCTTATTCCAGACCTTATTCATAATATCAGTTAGTTCACAGAAGAGCTGAACCTGAGCACGAGAAAAAAAAAAAAAGGAAAACAAGTCTCTTAAATTCTAGTCACAATCCACTAAAATACTAAATAAGGGAAAATTAACTACTTGGGGAAACAAGAATCTATACCAATGTGCCACTGATCATGATTTCTTCACACTTGAAATTTGTCTCACACACTGTGATATTTTATAATCAACCATTTTTATGGATTAAAACTATGGTAATATAAACACACCTTATTATGAAACAGATTTATTTTAATATGTGATTAATAGAACAAATACAAATGCTTCTTAAACAGAAAATGGACTCAAAATTAGAAAACAAACATATACTAGTAAACATAATTATTTAGTGAAATATAAAATAACTACCATCCTGATTTCTGAATAATTCCCACACATAAATTTTCTCTATTTTTCTGAGGAATAAATCTAATAATGGATTTCTTGCCCAACAAAATAACTTGAAAAAGAATGACATAACAAAAAATAGTAAAAGGAAAATGTTACATATGAGACTTTTCTATAGATAGAGAACCACCCACTATTCCCCTGGGATATGTCATTCCAATATTCAGAGAAAAAAGTATTTAACTTGCACATTGTTTGACTGAGTTCTAAGATATTTACACAAGATTTCATAAATAAGCATTAATCATGGAATTTGTATGACAACATATTGCCATATACTGTATAAAACAAGCCCAGTTAAAAAATGCAAACACAATATATAAGCAAATCCACAGCTGGATACCATATTCTGCTTGCCATTAAAAAGAAGTGAAATTCTCATATTTATAAGAAGTTTCAGCCCCAGGACATATCCAGATGATGAAGCTGGCCTCTTACACTGGTAGAACAGATGCATAAAAACACTGTTGTCAATCCTTATTTGATATAAAACAGTACTTGGGTGTACAATTTTCTCCTGTGTTTTGTGTAATAAAGTCTCAAATCTCAGGTTATAGCTATTTTTGTTTAAAAATAATCTAATGGTGAAAGATCTTACAAAAAATTCTTAGAAAAATTTTAGTTCAAATTCTTTTGTCCTTCATATTCATGGGTAAGTTTCTCTCTAAAAAGAAACAATTTTGTCAAGAACCAAATTTTTTTTTTTTTTTTTTTTTTTTT